AGGAAGGGTGCAGGTACGTAGTGGGGGTTCTGGTACCGTTTGAAGGGGATGCGCTGCAAGAAGCGCGTGGTAGGTCCGGCTGCAAAGGTATCGTCACGTGGCCAAGGGGGCGGTACCGTTTTCTCGTGGCCGCCCGGTATAAAAGAGAGACGTACCACCGGTGCATCCACCAATTACTATTGCACTTTGCCACCGGAACGGAGGCAAGGTCGGTGTACAACCCTCTCGACTCGAACACCGTGTCCTGTTCGCGGGTGTCGCGTCGCTGTCGGTCGTTTTTCCCGCTCTCTCTTGGCTCTTCTTCGATCTTCGGCTGGCCCGTCGACGTCCCGACGTTCCACCCCCGTGTGACTTCCGGTCTACGTTCGCCGCGGTCGTCGATGATCCTTTGCCGCGGAAATCAAAGTCTCGGGATACTTATTTCTTGCAATCCGAATGGCAATCCGAAAGATGGATCGAAAGGGAACAATAAACGCGTTAGCCGTTTCGCTCGGAACAATTTGATCCCGGCGTCGGTCCTTCGGCGAGCCCTTCGCTGCTAAGGGTGACGTGAGACGGTGGGGGCCGGCTGTTACCCCTTGTTCCGCGCTCCTCCGTCGTCGTTTCTTCGGACTTGCTTCGACCTTGTTCTACGGAGTGGCTGCGAACATTGTTTATTGTGTTCTTCTCTATTCTATTTTAGTTGAGTACGCTCTGTTTTTTTAAATTGTGTATGCTCTGTTTTTTTTTAAATCGTGTACGCTTTTCTAGTTGAGTTACGCTCCATTTTTTTACTTAACACCAGAACCCAAAATTACTGGTTTCTGACTCTCTTTTTTTACAATTCCTGACTTTATCATTCGAGCATATACTATAATAAAAATCGTAAGAAGTTTAAATAAATCCAATCTTGTGATTCTTATAAAAAAAATATATACATTAGTTATGTTTAGGGCTTGGTAGTTCTGGTGTTAGGTACGCTCCATATTTTTACACAAGTACGCTCTGCTTTCTTTAAATTCAGTACGCTTCAAATTTAGTTGATCCTTCGCTGACAATACAGTTTATCGTTAAACGGGGCCTGCCTGAAGGATTTCTCATCGCCTGGTCTATCTCCTATAATTGTGTGCTCTGAAAGAATTTGATCGGTTTCTAAGACACTCCGATCGATTAGAAACGTATAAGTGATGCGAAAACTGTTGAATGAAAATAAAAGTTCGACGGGAAGTTGCCTTGAAATTGGGGGCCCCTGGCACCGGAGGTTAAAATCATTACGTCAAATTATGTTCGGTTGAATCATTTAAGAAACATTATTAGGTCAAGTACTTCGCTTCTGTTGGTACTTCCTGTTGGGGTTTGCTCGTTCCTCTAGCTTCTCCTAGGAGGATGTGTTTCGTTTTGCAGAATAAGTTGCATTTTCGGGAACAGTCGGCATCGAGGTTGTAATAAGCTGTAATAACGTTTCATTACCGTCTCCGCGAGAGAAAGTTAAGTGTCTGTCTGTAAACGATTATTTTCATGGACTATTTACTAAAGCAACCTTCGTTCTGTCTAACGCGGCAGCGTTCTTTTAGGCGAGCACGTGAAACTTCGTAGAAATTTAAAGAGCACCATCAAAAGAGAAAGTAACCTTGTTCGACCTTTCGACGGAACCTTCGAACGGAACATCTTTCAGGCCATCTTTTTCGGTCTCCTTTTGCCTCTTTTTCATTCTGTCGTATCACAGTGTCCCTATTGGCACGAACTACACTATATTCGATTTTATATTCGATTCGGTCGATAGCATATTGCGTTTCATCTTCGACAATCGAGAAATCATTAAAGCTAGATTTAGGTCATTAACGCTAGATTTATGGAGCGCTAAAAGCGGCTGATTCGAATGAGTCTCTGAAAGTAAAAGTAAGACATTTATACCGATTCTGAACGAGTATTATCGTAATATTTTCCGCAACGTACATCGAATAAATACCTCGTAAATGTATCTTCACAATCCGATTAATCGTAACTTAAAGAATTACTGACCCGTCACTTATGACGGGTTCCGTAAACCTGGCGTTAATATTAGGTGAAAAGTCCCGAAGTGAAGTTTCAAATCGCGACAGACGAGACGCCGAATACAGTTCGCCGACAGTTCTCAACCAGGTACGAGCGCCCGAGAAGGATTCATTGATCGAAATCCCCGAGCCGCAATTAATTACGCCGTATCATTAAATCGCGGCGCTGCGGTGGTTCGGCTCGACCGTGGCGAGGAACCGGAAAAGCAAAAAATCCGAAGCGAAGGAAGTGAAAGGAGAAGTGACAGGAGGACGCGATTTTGATCCCCGCGCCATTGTTCTCCCGCCGCCACTATCGTTTCCACCAAAATTGCCCCCGACTCGAGTATTTCGTTACCATCTCCCTATTCTCGAGTTGCTCTGCTCTTCACGGTAGAACTCGGAAAACGTCTCGGGGAAAAAAGATCGAAAAGTTAACGACCCTGCGGTTTCGGCGCCCATCGAAAACAAAGCGCGGTCGGGTAACACCTCGGTTCTTTTTAAGAAAATCCTTACACAATTTATGCATCGGTAACAAAAAAGAACGGGAGTGAACGCGAGCGAGCGAGCGAGTGAGCGAGCAAGACAAAGAGAGAGAAGTAGGAATAGAGAGAGAGAGAGAGAGAGAGAGAGAGAGAGAGAGCGAGAGATCGAGGCTCTAAAAATACCTCGGGCCGAGCAAAAAATACGGCGGGCGGTCCGTTCGTCGATCGTTCTCGTTCCTGACTGGAGTCGCAACGACGGGTACGCGACAGGGCCGTGCTTTCCCCGTGCTCCGGAAAGGAATACCGGAAGTATAGGGGCTCTGCTGGACGATTCCGAAGTCCGATACCCTCGAGCGATCTGGGCCCGACAAAGGAGGCGCAACGTCGCCGGCAAAAAACGGTCGGACGAAAAGCCCGGCGAGCAAGAAAGACAGAGAGAAGACCCGAGTGGCTCAAAGAAGCGTACCCACGGCGATTGGGGAAGAAGAGGCGGGAGGAGGGACGGAGAGGTAGGTAGAGACAGAAAGAGGGAAGGGAAGAGAGGAAGAAAGAGGAGAAGAAAGGAAGAAGGAGCCAAAGAAGGAAAGAGAGGAGAAACTGAAGCAAGAAATATTGAAACAAGTGAATTAAAGAAAGAGAGAAGGAAACAAAGAAAGAAGGATAGAAAGAAAGAAAATAAGAAAGAAAGGAACCTAAGAAAGAAAACAGAAGGAAAGAAAAGAGGAATCCGAGAAAGAAGGAAAGAAAGGAGGAACTGAAGCAAGAAAGGATAGGAAGAAAGAAAATAAAAAAGAAGGGCTCCAAGAAAGTAAGAAAGAAGGAATGAAAGAAAGAAAGAAAGAAAGAACGAAAAAGAGAAAGAATGAAAGAAAGATATAGAGGAGGCAAGAAAGGGAGAAAGAACCAGGAGGGGACATCAGAAGGAAAGCGTGGGAGGAGCATGCGGAGAGTGGAAAGAACGCGTGGAGCACTCGGAGGAAGGAAGGAAGGTGGCTTGGGGGCCGGTGAAGGGCAGGAGGATGCAAGAAGTACGGGCAGAAGGAGGAAAGGAAGGTGGAGGTGGTGGAGGTGGTCGAGGTGGAGGAGGAGGAAGAGGAGAAGGAGGAGGAGGAGGATGAGGAGGAGAAGGTGGAGTAGGAGGAGAAGGAGACGATCATGCATGCATGCATGCATGAGACAGGCAGGCGGACAAACAGGCGGACATAGAGGCATAGAGGCAGATAGGCGAGCCGCAGCCGCAGCCGCAGCCGCGATCGCGCGCTCCAAGAAGGGAAGTGGGGACAACATAACACAGCGCGGCCGCGTGTGCAGACCGCTTTTGCAGAGCTTCTCGCTCAGCACACGGGGAAACGTTCCGCCTTGTGCTGCTGCTAGCTGCTGCTGCTGGCTGCTGCTGCCGCTGCCGCTGCCGCTGCTGGCTGCTGCTGCTGCTGCTGCTGCCGCTGCTGCCTGCCGACTGTTGACTGTCGACTGCTACTCTCAGTCTGTCGGGCGGCCTCGTGCGCGCTTGGTTTCCATCGACGAATCCGCGCGCCACGAAACTACCCGCGGAGTTTCGAGCGACTCCGAGTCGGGCTGAGTCGAGCTGAGTCGAGTCGAGTCGGGTCGGGTCGAGTCGAGTCGAGTTGAGTCGAGTCGAGTCAAGCAGAGTCGAGCGATCCGAGGCGCTCAAGCAAGACCGTGTCAACCGTGTAGTTTCGCGAGAGAAAAACCATCGGCTCGGATCAATCGAGTCGCTCGTTGCGGAGCACGATCGGCGTGGAGGAGGATCGAGGAGAGCGAGTGAGGCAGGTCCAGGCCGCCGTTTTCGATCGTGCTGTCTCTCTTTCTCTATCTCTCCCTCCGGAGGATCGCGGAAGAAAGAGAGAGAGAGAAAGAGAGAGAGAAAGAAAGAGAGCGGGAGAACAAGTAGGAGAAAGAGAGAGAGAGAGAGAGAGAGAAAGAGAAAGAAAGAGAGAGGGAGAGAAAGAGACAGAGAGGAAAGCGCGCGGGTCTTGTTAGACGTCCACGTGTCTAGAGGATGACGGTGCTGCGACTGCGGATGGTCTGCGGATGGTGCGCCGTTGTGCCGTGTGTCAACCGATCTCGATGATCGGCTCGTGACTGGAGGACGCGTGCCTTCCAGAGAGACAGCTCGAGAAAGTAAACGCCGCCGGTCGTTGGACGGTGACAGGACACTCGACCGCTCGCCCGGGAACGAGAACGAGAACGAACACACGCCGCCGGTTCTCTACAGGTGTTTCGAATCGATTCGTACCGCGGCCACGAGGCCTTCCTCGACAGAGAGCCCGTCCGTGTTCCTTGTGGATGGTGTGATGTTCAGTGAGTTTCCTTCGCCGGACACGTGATCTCTCTCTCTCTCTCTCTCTCTCTCTCTTTCTCTCTCTTTCTCTCCCTCTCTTGCTCTCTTCCTTCTCTATCTCTCTCTTTCTCCTCTGTCTCCGTCTCTCTCTCTCTTTCTCTCTCTCTCTCTCTCTCGCTCTCCGTCTCCCTCTCTCTTTGTTGCTCTGGTCTGGACGGGGTCCCGTGTCGAGACACGTCTCGTCGCGTGCCTGTTTCGGCTTCGGTCTCGCAGTTTCTCTCGAGCCGCGTTCACCGGACGTGAAGTTTCACCGCCGCGACCCGCCCGAACGGACGGACGAACGGACAGAAACGGGCAGGAGGAAATTCGACGAGCGGTTGATATAACGGACGGCACGATCGATAGGTGTGTTAGATGTTGTCTCGAGGTCGAAGCGTCACGATCGTTCCGCGGTGGCACCGGTGGCGGCGTCTCGATTGAAACGAGTCCCATTTCGCGCGGGATTTCCGTCGCGACTGGTTGCCTGCTGTTCGACTAGACGCACACGGTTACACAGTGCGCGTCTCTCTCTCTCTCTCTTTCTCTTTCTTTCTTTCTTTCTCTTCCTCTCTATCTTCTCTCTCCCTTTCTCGCTCTTTCCCTCTATCCCCGTTTCTATCTGTCTGTGTTCACTGTTAACCAAAAAATGCGAACAGTGTCCCAAGGACCTCCCTGTATTCCGTGAGTCGCGTGGCACCGATTCGCGCGAGCCGGCGCCGCGACGCGACGCGCCGCACCGTGAGATCATCGTCGATCGTCGCGACTCGATAGTCGCGTCGTCGTCGTCGCCGTCGCCGTCGCCGTCGTCGTCGCACAGACTGACGAACCGAATAGCGGAGAAGGCCAGCGGAGGAGAATAAAAAGAGGAGGATCGTCGATTACCGATCGGAAGCGCGACGCGTGCACGCGTGCACCGTATCCTCGTGCGGGGATCGAGCCAGTGCGGAGACGGGCCCAGTCGGTTTTTGAAAGGAGCCGCCGTGACGGGAGAGGATCGTGCGCGTAAACGATCGAACGTTTTCAGCCAACGGTGTGTAAATGACGAGGCCGGCGGGTAGGAGGTGCCGGACGGATACGTGGTAGAAACGGTACGAGGCGGCGGCCGATATTCGGAGGAAAACGCAGTCGCTTCGGGTGTCGAGGAACCGACCGAAAGGAGGCAGATGAGATGTGAAGCACGAGGACTACGCGGCGCGGAGCTGCCCGGACCCAAGCCGGAAGTCGAGAAGCCAAAGCTGACGAAGGCGGCCGGAGGACAGGCGGCAGGACAGGCGGCAGGTCGGACGGCTACCTGGCGGGGGCCGCCTGAGATGACGACCCTGCGACGGGGTATCCTGGCACCCCGGTACAACATCTACGTCCTGGTTTCACTGATCGGACTATTGCTGCAGACCCAGACCGCGACGGGTGAGTCCACCCGATTCCTTTACAATTTCTTTTCCTTTCGCGGCGCCCAATGGTGCACCTTTTCCCAAGAGGTCGGCCAAAATGCCATTTCCCAAGTGTACACCAGCGAAACCTTGCTATACGCGGGCGTGTAACATTTCGTTCCATATGAACGGAACGAAAGAAATATATTTCACAGATTCCTTGCGCAGTTCTAGTTACTTAACGCCAGCTTTACGAAATACATACTGTGAGCAGCTTGTTTTATATTGCTTCGTAAAACTGACTTTTATTCGACTTGGATTTTTAGCGAGTTTTATCGCAACGCGTCCAACGGCACAAATTTATCGAATAAGTTTCCCATAAATGTATCTTTGCAGTTTCGATGATCGTAAATTGAAAAATTTAGCACACGTCACATCGACGCGTTCCGTGTACCCAATGTGAAACGAAACCGGAAAAACGCTTCTGTAGCGTGGATCGTAAATCACTGTCCAAAGAGTCCGAAGATACGTTCTAACGTTTTCGTTACAATGTAATTAACTGTCTTTACATACTTCGAATTAAACTGTCTTTACACAGTTTAATTTTATTATTTAGCGCGTTGTAGGAGAAATCGCGTTGCATGAAAACGGTGGTCGCAATACTTTTTGGCGCGTTACAAGAATTCGCGTGATACTGGAGTCTGGTGTAAAATATGATTAAACTTGATAAAGATATTTTGCTCATCGAGTATATAATTCCAGGACGCACGATTCATTTAATGGGATTTCACACTTTGCGTTTCACCTCCCTATTTCACACGTGTGCGACAACTATGATTTACAATTCCGAAGAATAATCGAATTCTCGCTTAGGGAATTTGATTGTCGTGCGACAATGTTTTCTTTCGTATTTTGTAAGAGGGCGCGTTGCGTTTAATAGAATGTTAGAATTGGGAAGAGAGTTGCCGAAACAGGTAGCGAACGTGTTGACGTGCAAATCTTATGTCAATCGGCAGTAGTTCCTGTAGTTCGCGACGAGTTCGATACTTTCCACATAAAGGCAAGGTTGAGCAGTCAGAGATTGTTTCGTCATTACCTTCGTAATTGATTGCCGCTGAAGTTAGACTGAAATCATTACATTGCGGATTTTATGCATTTATGATGAAAGTGAGTAGGCGAAACGGAAAACAGCATAAACGTCAGTAAAATTTATATAGTAGTTACGATAATGTATTTGGTAATTTGTAACCTGTCGTACAGATCGTGTGGAAAGCATTCAATAAGGCGTAACGTTCATTTCAGTTATTCAGTTTATTTACTTTTATTTAACTTTCTACTGTTTCCGTCGACGGCGTGCAGATCCTGTGGAATTTCCTTAAACAATGATTGCATTGGTTTTAACGATGTTTTCTTGGATTCCAAAAAATGTGAAAAATATTATATTGTTTAGACACACACGGGAATTTGTCATGAACTCGGAGTTTATGGTAAAAGAGATTTATTGATGGAGATAATAGAAACAATATTCTATTTTCTATATATTTTAGTGTTGGAATAGTTTCAGAGTTCAGTAAAGTAGTATACTTCAATTATTTCGTCCTCGTGCGTTCGATATCGCTAAAGAAAAAGTGAGAATGAGACCCAAATCTCATCGGTCTAAAATTGGAAATTGTGTCGATCGTAGTAATATTTATTAATCGCGTTACGTTTCACTGAATCTGAAACTGCAAATGAATCTAACGAAAAATATCGACCATAATTTACCACAATTTTCCATGATTTACCAAAATCGGTAACACTGAAAATTTCGAAATCCTAGTCAGTAGATGAGAAACGACGCGCCGATTTCCCAGTAGCATTTGCATCGAATACCAGTTGCCATAAAGACGTCGCGCCCAGACCGAAAATTAAAACGTTAACCACGCCGGCCGCTGGCACTTTTCATTTTTACGGTCGCGGACCTTCGTTATTGAACTTTTACTTTGACAGTAATCGTGGCACCGCACAAAGGCCGGCAGAAATTGCGGTTCTGATTAAGCTCGGTATCGACGGCCATTAATGTTGCAATTAGTTGCAAAACCTGTATCGAAATCCTCGATAAACGTCGCATAAGAATCACGTATATTTATTGGCCGCACTTTAAAACACTTTGCAGCAGCGCAACGGCGGTAGCAATATTTAATCGTTCGCGAGTCAATTTACAAAGCAGGAACGAAAAATCGAAAGCTTCATTTACTTATCGCTTTTCGTCGGTTACGTAAACTTTAATTACACGTAATCTCCTGCATCCGTTCGCACGATTCTTTAGCCACTTCGTTGTGCCACGCAATCGCTTTACATCGCGAACTTTTATCACGATCGTGCGTTATCAGGGCAACGTACATTCGTGCTTATCAATTAACTTGTTTCTACTGGGTGGGGACTGAAGTTTTATTCGGTTTTATTTATTTAATCGATTCTAACGTCGTAATTCTTTGTAATATCGTTTTGCCATTTTTACGACAGTGACTTGGTATCTTCGTTATGAAATCCATTTGGTTTTTAATTTTATTTTTAAGCAGAGTTATTGCGAAGATCGCGAAGTGAGTGCATGACAAGATTTGACTAGTTCAGGAGACAATAGTTAAGGACAATTGCCATTAGAACAAGATTGTTATGCTTGCTATCTACAAAACGCTTTTCTAAATTTTCGTTACAGACTCAAATAAAATAACACTAAAAAGTCTTTTCATTTTTCGTTTGTTATTATTATAAGTTTATTTAGCGTGTATTTATTTATTTTAGCATGGTCGCATTAATAGCGAGGTCACATAATAAAGAATAAAGATTTATATTCTTGATTGTAATTAAAATTTATATATCGACACAAGTAATTAAAAGTGAGAACTATAACGAGTCACATATAGATTTGTGGATTTAATGAAGTGGCGGACGTTCTCTATGTTGCCATTGTTTTATCTCTTTTGTCATTCCAGCAATAGCAAAATTAAGAGAATTCGGTAATCTTGTTCCACTAACATTACAAAAAAAGTCAGTCCATTTGGTATTAAATACCGTTTTAATAGGTGCGCCATTGCCTTTTTTGCCCCACTGCATAAAATAACTGCAATTAATAGTGACATAATCTACAGATTCACGCGCGTATCGTCAGCCGACAATCCGACGACAATTCGTTTTGTTCAGATGGAAATCGCATTCTGAACAGTTAGCGCGCGAGTAGTTCGATCGGTTTGCCGGCGAATCGCGCGGTACACTCGAATATTATGACATTACCTCACCTTTAATAGCTGCAGCTTAGAAACGATCTGAATTGATCCGTGCTGACAAAGCAGTTGCACCTTTTCAAACAGTTGTTCCTTACAATCGGTTTGTTCCACGCCGTATTCGTTGCCGCGGAGGCCAACAATGGTTTAATGTCCGAATGACAACCGGCGTTGACGTAACGGGGGCCGAGGTGTGTTTCGATTGTTGCCGAAGTGCAATTCTCGTTACGAAAACGCCGCACCGGCCGCGGCCGGACAATCGATCAACCGGGCCCCTTTTTATTTGTCGCTGTTGTAGACATCGGAGTACTATGTGTCGCACGCGCTGATCGAACTCATATGTATATATATATAATATAACGTATATATATAATATATATATATATATAATATATAATAAAAATATAATATATATATAATATAATATATATAATATATATATGTATATAATAATAATAATAATAATATAATAATAATAACAATAATAATAATAATATAATAATAATAATAACATATTATTACGGCGACGAATATACGTGTATATACGTACGTAAACGGCGTTGTAAATGTTTTAATTTTCTATCCGAATGATGTCTTTGTGGCAACTGGTATTCGATGCAAATGGTACTGGAAAATCTTCGAAATTTAGGATTTCGAAATTTTCAGTGTTATTGATTGTGCTGAAACGTGGCTAATTGTGGAGAATTGTGGAAGATCGTGGAAAATCGTGGAATATGATGGTAAAATATGATGTTGATATCTTTCATTAGTTCTATTTTTAGTTTCAATTTCAGTGAAACGTAACGCGATTAATAAATATTACTACGATCGACACAATTTCCAATTTTAGACCGATGAGATTTGGGTCTCATTCTCACTTTTTCTTTAGCGATATCGAACGCACGAGGACGAAATAATTGAAGTATACTACTTTACTGAACTCTGGAACTATTCCAACGCTAAACTATATAGAAAATACAACATTGTTTGTATTATCTCCATCAATAAATCTCTTTTACCATAAACTCCGAGTTCTCTCATGACAAATTCCCGTGTCTAAACAATATAATATTCTTCACATTTTTTTGAAGTCCAAGAAAACATCGTTAAAATCAATGCAATCATTGTTTAAGGAAATTCCACAGGATCTGCACGCCGTCGACGGAAACAGTAGAAAGTTAAATAAAAGTAAATAAACTGAATAACTGAAATGAACGTTACGCCTTATTGAATGCTTTCCACACGATCTGTACGACAGGTTACAAATTACCAAATACATTATCGTAACTACTATATAAATTCTTTTGACGTTTATGCTGTTTTCCGTCTCGCCTACTCACTTTCATCATAAATGCATAAAATCGGCAATTTAATGATTTCAGACTAATTTCAGCGGCAATCAATTACGAAGGTAATGACGAAACAATCTCTGACTGCTCAACCTTGCCTTTATGTGGAAAGTATCGAACTCGTCGCGAACTACAGGAACTACTGCCGATTGACATAAGATTTGCACGTCAACACGTTCGCTACCTGTTTCGGCAACTCTCTTCTCAATTCTAACATTCTATTAAACGCAACGCGCCCTCTTACAAAATACGAAAGAAAACATTGTCGCACGACAATCAAATTCCCTAAGCGAGAATTCGATTATTCTTCGGAATTGTAAAACATAGTTGTCGCACACGCGTGAAATATATATATAATACAATATGCATTTTTATTCCGTCTCCCTTTTTGTTCTCTCTTCTCCGTTGACCGCCGTATGTATGTT